ATTTAGAGGGACTTATACCAAACGCCTTTTATAGAACGCTGTTGCTGTTGTTGTGTCCATATTACATGGAAGAATGGTTGTCAGAGCCTACTCCAAAGAGAAGTTGGACTTCTATTTTCCACTCCAATTTCGACGGAGGGATAGGGGTGATCCAGGGGGCTCCCCGGGCGATGAGTCCGAGCTTCTCCCCCCCCCACCCTTCCACTAAACTACACGAGACGAGTTTTGGCTCGTCGCATATATAGAGTGCCCCCATGCCGCATGGACACTATGCGTTGACAAACATCCATGTTTCCTCCGGGATTCGAACCCTGGCCCTTCGGTACAGCAGTAGGCTCTCCTAACCACTATATCGTCTGGGCGACTTTTATAGGAAGTAAATTTATATAATCTTATATCTGATAACTAAAATGCCAAATATCTTCTAAATGGCTTAACATTTTTATATTTTTTTTTTAATTTAAGTAATTAATAGGTTTGTCGAAGTGGGTCTGTACTGGAGGTTATACACATAAAACATCTTACAAATGTTGGTTCTAAGAATTTTTTATTTTGAAGGCATAAACATTTTAATATCGTTTAAAATTTTGTAAAAAGCAAATAAATAAAGGCAATAAAATTGTAAAAAGGCATTAATTTAAGAATTTATTATGCTTTCATGGTTCAACAAGCTGATTCGCCGGTTCATATCACGTGACCCCAAGTGATCTCATCTCACGTAAACTTACGCTACAAAAATCTAATTCTCTCAGTAATTATCTACATTAATTTCAAGTTAAATTTTAATATGGAATACAAGTTTAAATGCAAGAATTATTTCAATTCGTACGAATAGCTTACTCAGAAATTATGTAAAACCGCAGTCTTTTACTTCGCTTTTATATTTTCATTAGAATTGATGAATTTAACCCTTGACTTTGCCTTTTCTATATTTTCGCCTTCGGGTGAGCGGTGTGATTGCATTCTACTTGATTTAATTACCGCGAATGGCCTTAGGGCATAAAATTGTACTATCTGATAAAAATTGTATGTAATTGTTTGCCAGTATTGAGAGAACCGATTAATCTGCTAAGAAATGGCTGCGACTTGTTTTCAAAATGAGGCATAAAAGGTTACCCAGTAAGGATATTCCGTTTGCCATCAGTTGTACCATTATTGGCGACTTTATCGCCTGCGCTGGCAAAACGAAAAGTACCCTCTCGTGACTGTACCAAATGTAATAAAATTCGAATTTTCACACATAATTAAAAATATTTCATGCACACATTTTGGAGAAAAAAAGTGTTGAAACATAAAATTACTACTTTTTTAAAAAAAAGTGCTTTAAATAGTAATTTGAGTAATAGCTTTAAATTTTAAAAAAAATTACGTAAGAAATATGCTCATATGTCTACCTAAAAGTGCAAATATTAATTTCCAAAACTGAATTGGAATTTGCATTATTTTCTGCTTCCCTTTCTTAATATAATTTTTGACTCTATGTCTTCCTGATACCAAAAGAATACGAAAGATGTAAAACACTTCGAAAAGTATTTTAGTTCATTTAATTCTGAAAATAATAAATCTATTTCATTACATTATAAACAAAATAAATAATTGAAAAAGTGACATCTTTATAGTAGAACAAATTTTATTTTATAAGCAGAATATTACTCAATAAAACTTTAATCTGCATAAATAAAAATCTAATCCACATAAATAAATATCTAATGAAAACCGAATTATCACTTGAAAATAACATGTAAAACTTAATTAATCCATTAGCTTTTTATTAGCTCATATAGGGTTTTCACAGCTAATCAGAATGTTAAAATGGAATTTTCATCTAATCCAATATTGTTTAATAAATTTTAGCTAACTTACCGCTTTATTTCAGTTACTGGTGCTTCTTTTCAAACTACGGTACTTTTTAATGATATTAAGAAACAGAACTCTAACGTTAAAAATTAGATAAGCACTTCACTTGTGAAAAAATTAATTGTTTAATCGTAAAGACGTAAAAGTTACACAATTGCTATTAAACTAATTTATATTATTAATTATGACTCAAATCAGATGAAAATTAACTCTCTTTACCGTGACAACATTCAAAGCATATATTTACAGCTAATTTTTTTAATAATATTTAAAGAAAAATAAAAACATAAATAACATCATGTGAGCTGTTGTTTTAATGATAATCCTTCTCGTAGCAGAATATTCTCTTTTATTTATTCCCTATGTTCTCGGGAGCTATTTCATTTTAAGCATAGCTAGTTTTTTAAGTTGCATCGTTAAAAAAAATTAAAAGACCCGAAAAAATATTTGGGCTGATCCAGAGTAAGGGTGTGAATTAATTAATTTTAAGTCATTTACGAAAACTTTAATTTCCAGACTGAATACTTTGACAGCATTGAAATATTTCAAGTGAAAAAAAAGTCTGTTTGATGATAATAATTTCGATACATTTACCTGTAGAATTACAACTATTAAATCCATGAAAGTACTAAATTTTGATTTTAAGATTCTTTAGAGTATTCTAACTCAAGTACTAGATGGCGCCACTAAATACTTCCAGTCGTTGAATATTGGAGGAAAGTTTTCATTTCAAAACCTAAATAAAAAGTATTAAAAACAAGAAGCAGTACTATTAGGTATGACTAAGTTTATTACGTTATACGACCCTTCGTAGGGTCATATAACGCTCTCCATCAATATATCAACGTAGCCATGCTATTTTAAGGTGTAAAATTAATAGCACGTATTGTTGTAAACTGGGTATTAAACACCTGTTGACTTTCGAAACTATTAAAATTAGCAATTTAGAATTCCTTTTATTGGCGCAAAATTTGGAGAATCGGTGCAGCTTCACTAAGTTACAGAGTTTAGAAACGGCAATGATAGTGATGGGAAGAACAAAAAAAAAAAAAAAAAAAAAAACCTTAGCATTGACAACATATCTGTATTCTATCGCAGTTAATTCACAATGCCTTAAAATATTTATCTTATTTCTTTTCCTTCCACTTTGAGTAAAAACAGAACACTTTCGCAATATTTAATTCATGCTTTTTGGAATGCATGCTTTTGGGTGATTTTTTAACTAATCCAGTGTTTTCTAGATGGCGCCACCAAATTCTTTTTAATAAAATGAATAATGTCAATTTAATTAAACAAATTTATTTGAAAAACAATGAATTTAATTATTTGAGTTATCTGTGCAATTTTTTTATAACAGAGTAAATTTTTTTCTTTTTGAAATTTACTTTTTGAAAATTTATAACCGTGTTCAATCTGCGAGATCTTAATTTTGCCATAATTTCCACTAAAGCAACATACTCAAAATTCTAATTTTTATACGCTAATAATTATATTTTCCCTTCCATTAAGTAAGTTCAAAACTATTACATGATTTTCTGTAATAAATTCTAAGTTTGTTATATAAGTTTTGGTAACTTGTATAACAGATTATAACAGACGAAAAAAACTCATTTTATTTTCTCATTATTTCAATATGATAGAATTAAAACCTTATAATCTATATTTTGATAAATTGCCTCAAGGGGCGAACTGCTTTCAGAACTTTTAGTAATTTATTATAATTGACGAGGCATTGCTAAGGATATATCATTACAGAACATATGCTGTGTTTAAAAAATGAAATATTTTTTTAAATGCAGAGGTAAATTTCTTAAACAATTTTCAAGAAAATTCCTATAATTATTCTATGTATTAGACAGCTTTTCTGTATAAATAAAATTTGAAAAATATTTTTATTTTTAATCTTAAATGTATTGTTATTTTCTTTGTTGATTTGCTCTTTAAAAGTATCAGAAGTAATCCTTAAATCCTAAAATTACTTCGGAAATATTTAAGTTTCTTATTTCAGAATTTAGAAATGTATATTATATTCGCTTCCATTAATAGTTCATCATTAAAATAAATTTTAATAATAATCTGTTATATAATACTTCGTTTTTATAATAATCCGTTAATAAATAATCCGTTTCCTATATTTATATATTGGAAGCTTTTATACTCCGTATGAAAAAATAAAAAACATTTTTCTAAAGTATGGCTTAGTTTCCAAAATTTCAATTTTTATATCAGTTTCAACTTGCCTTCAGGGATCGGTTAATTAAGTTAGAATAATTCGAGGAAATAAGTTTAAATGAAATACAAAAAAAGTTTATCATTTAATAGGCCTTACAAGAAAGTCATGTGGTGTCTAAATCAGATTTTTTTTATTTTAAATTAAAGGACGTTATTTAATCATTGATTAAACGTGTTAGAACTATTTTAAACAAATATCAGTCTGAAAATTTAATATTTGGCTATCAGTATATTTGAATAAAAAAAGTATACCCTACAAAATGGCTTGCAGATACCAAACTTTAGATTTTAGATAGAAAATAAATTATAAAATTATTTTTTTTTATTTGCAATATTAGTATATTGCAAAGGAAAAAAATTAATTTTAATTGAATTGTTTTGCAATTTTAATTTAATTGCAAAAATTTTGCAATAATAATTTAATTGCAAAGAGAAAAAATTAATCGTTTATCCATGTTCTGATAAAAATTTAATAATAGAAATTTAAAATTTAGTTAAAATATTTTTGTTTCGTTATTTTTTTTTTCCTTTTCATTTTGTTAAAAAATAGAATAAAATAAAATAAAAGACACTATCCCATCTACGTTTGTGCGTTTTGCCCGAACACAATCTGAATTTGTAAGAGGTGGGCTAGAATATTCAAGAAAGTCTCTTTGATTCAAATTTAATTTTAGAATTAATTTTAAAATTCTGAAAATGTATATAATTCTTGCATAATTTCCAGTATCTACAATATAAAGATTATTCATAAGATATTTCTTAAGGCATGGATGTGGGGAGAACTAAAGGAGATTTTGGGGGGCATTTAAACTTTCATCTTGGTAAGACGAGACAGACATGTGTATAAATATAAACCGAAATTGAAAATTGTCTTAGAACAACTAAAATGAAAGAAAACCAAACTATAATACCTTTAACGTATTTACAGGTCCGATGTTGCGTTGGCAAAGAATAATAGGATACATAGCTGAAAAAAATCGTAAAATTAATTATTGGCAAATTTCAGGGCAGCAGCACATAATAAACACAAAAAATTATTTAATACATTTAGAAGAAAAATTAAATTATACAGAAAAAAAAATCTCAAAACTTTCAGATTTTATATTACGCACAAAGGGGCTTTTTTTTTTTTTTTAACGTTTTCTATGTTACCTTTATTTATTAAATATCATGCTCTTCGCACTTAAACCATAAAGTTCAATTTAACAGCAGTATCCCAAAATATTCAAAAAGAGCCTCTCTTTAGAATTTCTGATGCACAATCTCGCGCACTGGAGATTAGAATGTTTTATTTGGTACAGTGTTGCGATTCCTCGCTTTGAAATTGCTCAGTTTGTTAATCAAAAATTCGTTAAAGTTTTACAAAGTATGAAGTAGATAATAAAACAAATTCCAAATTTGGCTTCTAGATACCCATATTCGTGTGGAGAACTACGTTATTCAAAATCTTTGGGTACCTTTTTTTTTTTTTTTACAGTACAAGAAACATACAAATATTCATGAAGATTCTTCATTATTTAATTTCTTTAAATATAATGCAGAGCTCTATTGCAATAATTTGAAAATGAAATGCCACTTTATAGTGGACGAAAAAAGCCAAAACAAAATTAATAGCCCTTCTGGGCAAATTACCAGTTTGGGCTAAAAATGCAATGCTAGATTTGTAGCATGCTCCATGCTAGATTTAAAGGAACTTTCACTGTATATAGTTGTACGAGAATGCCTGCAGCTCATTAAACATTTACAGCTCTACTAATTATCGTATATTTTCGCGTATTTCTCCCCCTTTTTCATTAATTTTATCGAGATAAAATCGAGAGAAGAAAATTATGCGGGTAATTTAATTTTCGAAGAACGCTGTTATGGTAACAACATAACAAAGTAACATAGAAAGTAGTCATAGATATTATCATAATATTATTTCCTTAAAAGGAACCTATATTTAATAAACATACATAAAAATATTAACATTACTGCATCTGACGGATATTGAGCTGATATGTGACGGTAACTGAGCTGGACACATCGCGCAGAAAACGAAGTTTCCAGCTCCGTTGCTTTGCAAAGCCCCAGGGGCATCTCCCATGAATAATTCTTACCCGCAGTTTCTAAGAGGGACATCGAAGGAACGAAGGAGAAAGGTGCGAACGAAAGACTCGGATTTCTTGTATTTCTAAACATCAAACACATCAGCAGTAGATAAGACTATAATAAATTGGAACGTAAATAACAGAATATATATATGCCTTATGTAATTTTAAATATATAATTTAATAATTTATTTTGCATTTGGACAAAAGTGACTTTTTTAGAACCTTTTGGACGAAAATGTCACTTAAATAACGTATTTGTCCTTGCACAGGTAACTTCCGCTTTATAGCCTATCAACCGATATAGACGCCTCTAAATTTTGCTGCTTGCTTGAGTTCAAACTTCATAAAGCTATACTATTTCTCCTATGAAAATAAGTTAAACTACTTTAGAGCAGTTATTTTATTAATAATTTGTGATTTTATTTTTTACTAATTATTAAACTGATATAAAAGAAGAATTTAGAAATTAGTTTCGGGCATAATGCCTAGTTTTTTTTTTTTTTTTCCTAAGGAAAGAAAATTAAATTTTCCGATGTTACAAAATTCATATAAATATTACAGTAGACGCCGTTTCATGTCATCACGGTTAATTTTATCATTCGATATTGTTATCGATTTTTTGAGATTCCGCTCAATTGCATAAGAAAATATGGAAAATGCATCGCTTATTGTATCAACAATTCGATTAATTTTATCAAAATATTGTAAGATGAATTTTTCAAACCGAAATAAATTCTAAAAATAAGATCGGAATAAGTTTTAAAAATTGACAAATGACTAAAACTTATCACAGAGTAAGGGGTTGAGTACATAAAGCGATTAGTTCTTATTTTAGTCAACTATTTAAAACTAAACAAAAAAGAAATTTTTTGTTCAGTTTGGTGTAGATTTTTAATAACTGTTTTGATTCCGAGAACGATCACAGTTCTCGCTTCTTCAGAGAGAAGAAGACGACAGAAGATATCTACCAAGGGCTTTCAGAAACAAATCCAAGCACATCACGTAATAAGTAATCTTTCTGAAGAACATAAGAATGAAATTCGTGAATCCCCTATAAATGCTAATATAAGAAACTCCTTCCGAACATTAATATTATGGACTGCATTGACCAAATAATTTCTAGAAACATTAGGCACAGTTCTTAAATTAACTTTAGCAAAAAGCATGCAGACAATCCACTAGTAACGACTTTTTTCTTAAAATTCTATGAAAATAAGTATTTCTGTGTTTCTACTTATTAGCCTGAAAGGGACGCTAGTCCGGAATGGGATATTAGTCTCGAACATGGAAGGTTAGAATAGATGGAGTAAGCCTTCCCCGTATGTCCCGTGCAAAGAAAATGAAGCCATGAAACATCACAGTATGACGTCACTACTTATCATGGCCGCTGCCATCAAGCGGACAAAAAATATGGTTTGTTTTGTTTACATTTTAATCGGCCTTATCTACATGTTAGCTATTCATCATTGAACGTTTATATGTCTCATTTTCTAATTTTAATTCTTAGCACGAAAGATTTTCTATTTAGCATATAGAAAAGCCACAAGCATTACAAATAACTCTTTCAAATTTAATAAAATCTAAGTACAAGAAAATATGTAAAGGTTACTATTACACAAATGTATGCATGGAAAAACCTGGAAGATCTCTAGGAGCATTAATGGTATTTTGTGAATATTATGCGAAAAAACATGTTTCTGACCCTGCGGGCGTTGATATTTAACACGTTTTGTAGTTTTACCCGTGCCCTGTAGGGCGGCCATGATAAATCTTGACATCACGTTGACGTCACGCTACGCTCAGTTTCAGTTTTGTAACATCATACTTACTCCATCTATTCTAACTTCCATGGTCTCGAAATGGCCTTTTGCGCTGAATCACAATAAACGGCGTATCACTTTTCAATAAACGGCGTAAGACTTTTCAAATTGTTGCTACTAAATATTATCACCCTGTATTATATTTAAAGAAATTAATAACGAAGAATCTGCATGACTATATGCATGTTTCCCGCACTGTGAAGATACAGCGGCACTAGAGCCATCAAATTTTGAATAAAGTTGTCCTCCACCTGAACATGGGCACTTAGAAGCTCGAATTTTGAATTTCGAACTTGCGTCTGTTTCATGTTTTGGAAAACATTAACGAATTTTTGGTTAACAAACTGAACGATTTCAAAGCGAGCAGTAGCAACACTATTCGGAGTAAAACACCTTTATCTCCAGCGTGCGAGACTGTCTTTCGGAAATCCTAAAGATATGCTGTTTTTAAATATTTTGTGATTTTGCTCTTGAATCGAGTTTTATGTGGTTTAAACACCAAGAACGTGATATTTAATAGATCAAGCAAACACACAAAACAAATAAGAAAAAGACAAAAATAAAAAGAATTTTATAAAGCTATCTTAATAAAAAAAAAAAAAAAAAAAAAAACTAAACATTGATATGATGAACTGAGAAAAGACTCGCTGCATCTTGAATTCTAAACGTATACTGCTATAATAATTTATTTTTATATATTTTATATATTTAATTTTTTTTGTAATTTTGCTGTCGAATTGCATATGGCGTAAGTGCGAAGAAAATGATGCTTAATAATAAAAGTAAAAAGACAAAAAGAATGTGTTAGAGGGAGGGAGTGTAACAGCAGGCTGGTAGACGGTGACTCAGTGAGAGCGTAAGAAACCTTAACAAACCCTTCTGGGCGACCGTTAAAATCTGAAACCTTTATGACACTTTTTTTGAATTTATATTAAGTTAATTAAATTCTGTTGCTGAAGTGATAGCATTAAAGTTAACTCATCGTTTAAAGTTATCATTCGGTTAATGTTACCAACGATCAAACGTAATCGCATTAAACAGCACCTATTGTATTAGCAAGGAAAAGACAAAATATGTAACTTTAAACATTTCTTAATCTTTCAAACTCATGATGTTTTCTTAACCAATATTAAACGCAAATACTGCGAAAGATTAAAATGTCATACCTAAAAGACTCAAAACCCAAAGCTGAGGCTTCATTTTTTAAGATGGATACTTGAAGTTGCATCTACGGATCTTCTTATCCCTCTGAAATGTTTCCAGACACACTTTTCCTTTAACTTCTGCAACAATGTATGAAATCGAGGTTCAAAGTACATTTCTCGAAAAGCAAAATTAAATGATTTTGGTGCCTAGGTAATTGCTTCAGAGACCCGTATTGGAGCGAATCAATTGGAACAGTACAGTTAGTTGCAAGCGAAGATAAAAGCCATCGCGTGTACAAGTGGCAAATTGAAAGCTTCGAACTTCGCTGGGAAATTAGAGAGATGGTCGAGTGTGATATTATGCGTTTATTTCACAAAATGTTAAGTGCTTCCGATTTCCTGATCTTTCTATAAATCTATCTCATCGTGCGAAATTGTTCCAAACTAAAATATGCGCCTTAAGGTACGGAATCTGAAAAGATTTTTAATAGTCACGCAAAGCCTTAATAATTCTATAGAAAATGGTAAAAAATGCGGAATAGAAAAGAAACCACTTTAATACAGGAAAAATAAAATGTAAGTAAAGTAACTTAATATTTTTAAAAACTCTCTTCTTGATAGATAGCGAAACTCCATATGCCAAACATATCCCATGTACGATCGTTGGACCTAAAAGTGACCAAAATTCCTTGGACCATCAGTAAATAATGGTATTGTACTTACAGTGACTCACATTTGTTTTCGTACACTTGCATTTTGGTTCAATTTTTCCTAATGTATTATTAGTCCAAAGGGGAAATTTGCCCTGGAGAACTGTTATTTTCGTTTTGGCATTTTGCGTTGGTTCACTATAAATGTCCGAATCAATTTTTAGATTATCGCCCTGTATTCCATTTATAGAAATTAAAT